GGGGGGGGGGGGGGGGGGGGGGGGGGTGCTGTAGATAAATTGGCTTGCCCCATCCAAGTTGCTTCTACGAGAAAAGGGAAACGAATAGATCTAGTATTGGCATGCGTGTGCATGATGTTGGGATTTTAATTAAAGATTGTATGAAGTTTTTTTTGCTTATTCATAGATGGCTTCAAGAGCTGATCATTAATTTAGTTATAGTCTTACGTCCTGTTTTGACACAAGAATCCATATTTTTCATGGTTTTAATCTTGTGCCAGAAAATTTTCAAAACCAAATCCAACTGCTAGAAGGATTTAATGATTAAATATATCAAATTACTTCATCAATCTTGCAGAGATTTTACTGGATCGCAAAGTGAAAATCGGACACAACAATTAGTTGAGCAGATTAGAAAAAAAGGTTACACTTCACATATGGATTGAGTGAGTGATATTTTTCCTGAACTCAAACACTAGCAAGTTGCTCTATGGTCATCGGATAAACCATGTCCTTGCTTCCATTGAAAGCCTTCTGCCCAAATAATATGTTTACAGCTTCTGTTGGGTGAAAAGCATCCCAGAAAATGTACTGTCTCCTCTCAGCACAGGGTGTCTGGAATGGAAGACAAGTAATCTGCCCTGCATTTCTCCCAATGCCGCAGCACCCTTGATTTACAACACTGAATCCTGTAGTAGAAGAAGCATAAGGTAAAAAAGAGGTGCTGTAAGGCAAAATACAAAGATATACATATATACAGATTAGCATAATTTATGTACCATAGGATCTAGCATTGGTAAGGAGATCTTGGAACATGTTGCGAACATCAATGTAAGAAAATTTAGAACCAGGTAAGGTAGCACTAAGATTGTTAATCATTGCCTTCGTATTTGTGTTGAAGGGAATGAGAAGTTGGTTCACTTCCTCAGAACATATTCCATTTGAATTTTGTGCTAGAATGCTAGGAATGCATCCCATTAAACCAAGCCCTGAAATCACAAATTTCCTAGCTCCCAAGTTGTAAAGCCTCTGTAATTGTTCAATAACCAAATAAACAGAAGCAAAATGGGAAAATAATTAGCATCTGACTATATTAAGGAAGAAAATATAAGTCAAAATCTTGTTTGTCATAAGAGTATCTTACAGTGAGTTGCTGGGAATACTGCTGAACCAAGAGGTCTGCATATTGTGGAGGGTTATACTGATCTTTTGTGGGAAAATCTGGCATAAGGTAATTATTGAGGTAGTCATTACTGCCCATTCCAACAAAGAAGATGCACTTAGAAAGTGCCTGTGCTGCATCTTGTGCACCAAGAATGTCTGTAATTTGATCAAGTGTGTTCTCAAAGTTACTAATCTGCTGATTGAATGGAATTCGGCCAGCCTGAAAGAAGCAATAAAAATCCTGATTACAGTGTTTTTTTGGCTATTAGTTTATGCCTTCTAATTTGGTTAATGGCAAGTTGAACAGAGCAACTATTCATTAAGAAGTACAGAAAGTACTCACAAAGTTTCTGCCTGAAATGTCAAGAATACCAGCAGCAGCAGAGGCATAATTAACTCCATATCTCATTTGATCGCCAGATACTTCAGTGTATGCAGGAATTAGAGGCAGTCCAAGCAATTCAGCTGCAGATAAGGGCATAAACTCAGTTTAAAGAATACATAACTAGTAAGATAAATTGCCATGAAAATTTTCGGTAATTTCGTCTATATCCCAGTAGTTGCATAGTAAAAAATGTTTGCTAGGTTTCTTAGATAACTCAAGGTCATAATAGATAGCATCTTTAAATTCAAAAAATAAATTTTTTATACACTCCAATGCACTATTTTGGCTCTTCATTTTGGTTTTTTTTCCTTCAAAAAATATATATTGATTTATCCTCATATTTTTTTCATATGACAATAGACATTCAATTCAAATACGATTTGAATAATTTAAGAAGTAGAATATTAAAATCTATAACCCATTAGAAGTACGAATAGATAAGAGTCTCTTGAAGCTTATTTGAAGCATTGGTTTTATAAAATAGAGAGCCTATTATATTACAAAATCTCCTTGTTAAAGGTGTAAAGTTGGATCTCGATGTCAAAAAAGTTAAACCATGTTGGGCCAAGGCTCTTCCCGACTCTGACCCTGGCTTTTTGCTTGCTTGCCCTATCTACAATTTACACCCCTATGCCTTAGCTGTCAAACACAATGCTTGATATGAGCACGTGTCATGCACATAACACAACATACATCCAAGGATCTAATATATAAACATGGAATAATGTTTTTTCTTTTCTTGGTGGTTGATGGTTCATTATTCCTTCTTTTGGAACTTTTTGACAATAAAGTAAAAATCTAAGTATCAAACATAGAGGAAGGTGGCAATCCCACTGCTAGTAAAATGTAACACCAAATTCTCATAATTTCTCTCAGGACCTTTTCCTAAATGCCACGTTCTTTTATCCATAATTACATGGACAAAAGCAAAGAAAAGAAAGAAAATTCATTATTTTCTTTATTTAGTGAAAAGTGTCAAAGTCTAAGCAAGGTTATTAGACCAGAAGAGAGAATTTGAATTTCTCGACCCTTTTTTATTGACAAGGAATAAGAAAAAATTAGAAAATGAAAATGGGGTGCAAGTTGTTTACCAATTGTATCAACCATGGTATAACCATTCGAAAATCTGCCAGTCGGTCCTCCATCAAAATCAATGCCGTAAGGTAAATAGTTGGCTTTGGCCAAAGAAGCCAGATTATTGTTGTTCCCATTGTCAATGAGAGAGTCTCCAAAAATGAACAGTGCCGGCACCATCTCGCTTCTTCCTCCTACATTATTACTACTCCACACCAACAACAGCCCAAAGAGAACGCTACAAATTCTGAACTCAGCCATTTTTTGCTTTTCTTGTATCTATCTATCTCTGTGTGCGTGTATAAAGGGAGACTTTTAGAGAGATTTGCAGTGGCGATAAGTGCAGAGAGTCGAGGGTCGTGGAGGGATTAATAGGCGGAGGAAGGAGGTGGTTAGAGTGTAGTAAGTGAATTCACATGTATGTACCCGTTACCGTAAATACATGTATTGGATAAAATTTCACATCGAATAAAAATAAAAATATGAATAAATTTATAAGGATATGGGCTGCCCCTCTTAATAAGTTGAAATTTTAAAATAGAACTCAAGTCTTAACATATTATTAGATTCCATTAAACTCTGATTCAAAAAATGAGCAGGCAACTTTCAAGATTAGACTACTCATCTTAATATGGTTGACATTTTAAGATGAAATCCGATAAAACATGAAAAGAAATTTAAAAATGAATTAAAAAAATTTGATTATAACATTAACAACTGATATAGGCTATGAACACCTAGCACACATGTATCCCTATTTATAATAGAATAAGTAAAACAACTCTCTATTATTATTGTAGCTAGTGTTTATCCAAAAAATAGATAACAATTATCAAATAATAAAATAGCAACTTGCATTTATTCTTTGGTTTGAATTAGACAATCTTATCATTTCTAGATTTTCTAGTCTCTTTATAGCTCCTCCTTTGATCCTCATCATTTTCGTTGCCAAGTTGTGTAGCATCTCTAACATTCTCCTGCTTTTTTTGCTGAGACGGAAGGCACAATTTGGTTCAAAAATTGAGAGTTACTATGGATATTGGTTTGATGAAGAAGCCAACAATGATTTTTATCTTCATTTTTGCAAAGATATGTCATCTGTGTATATAAGCATTTCAAATGCTTTCCATACTGCATGGTTTGTGTCTTAGCCTATAACAAGTCTGGGGCTTTCTTCACACTGCTCCGATGATCCAACCAAGAATGAAAGGTTTCGGACTTTCACCAAGCAATGAATTCATTTGTTAATTTTGGTGTGATTTTTTTTTTTTTTTAATTTTTGGATTGTTTGGATTTTATGTGATGTATTTGGAGGGGAAAAGGTTTTCATTGGTGAAATGATCAATCTATGCTTGAACTCATTTGTCAATTTTGATATGAAATTTTCTGTTTCTATTGTTTTGCTTGGAATTGGAAGGATGTATTTGATGGATGGGAATTAACGAGAAATGAGTATAAAGAAGTTGTCAACATTTACAAATAGTAAAGTGATGGCGGAAGAGAAGACTTGTGGTGTGCCGTGTGATCACAATGACTCTGATTCCAAGACTTGACTATAATATTATTAATTGATGACCATAGGCCATGAGCACCCAACATACATTTATTCGTATTTATAATAAAATAAGTTCAACAACTCTCCATTATTATTATAGCTTGTGTTTATCCAAAAAAGGAAAAAAAAAAACAAAAAAATAGATAACAACTATCAAATAATAAAATAACAATTTTGCATTTATCTTTTGGTTTGAATTTGACAATTTTATCACACCAAGATTTTCTGATATCTTTAAAACTCCTTTGATCCTCATCATTTATGTTGTCAACAGGGGCGGACCCATAGTGGGTCTTCGTGGGTCATATGACCCACCAACTTTTAATATTATTATTATTTTATTATTATCAAAAATCACATTTTCGCCTGAATTCCTCCGTTGCCCTTTTGCACTCTGTAGAACCAAGAAGAAGAAATAGTTAATAGCTTCCAAATTAGAAAATCAAAATCCTTTCCTTCCCTTGGAAAATCAAAACCCATTTTATTCAATTTCAGCCTCCCACGATTCCGTTCCGTTAATGCGATTTTGCTGCTGACTGCTCATGTGGTTTTAATGTGTATTTTATGAACTATAAAGGTAGTTCAATTCAAACGAAAGCTTGGTGCAATTGAATAATTTCATTCATCCCAATTATCTTGCTTAAAGTATAAACATTTGCTTCTTTCTAATTTCTTGCTAAACGTGTTTATCCCTAAATATGGGTCTATTGCCTTGATATGATATATGTATTGGCTCTTGTTTCTTTGCTTAGGACAACAAGAATTATGTGCCTGGAAATTGACCTTGATGACTTTTACAAGAGAATGCTACTACTCAAGAAGAAGAAATATGCAACAGTAAAAGTGCAATTTAAGGTTGGCAAACCTTATGAAGTAGCTTTTAATATATCTGTTGAGATTCTTTAAAAGTCTTTTCAATGTACTGTTTTCCATTAAATGTTCATGAATTTGAGTTTGTGCTAACCATTGAGCAGAAAAGACTTGATATGGTTTGGCGAGATTGGAGCTCGCTATTAAAGGAATTGGGTGATTTCTGCCTCAATCAAATTTTTAATGATATTTGTTGAGTAGCAGATCCCTGAACTTCTACATTTCTCTCTTGGAATCCCACTTGTTATAGGCAGCACCAAACTAGATATGTTTCAACACAAGAAGCTCTAGTTAGTCTTAAGTTTTCTGCTGAAGTTGTCATAGTTTTGTAAGTGTATGGATTTTTTTATTTTATTTTATTTTATCTAGTGGGTAAAATAAGTGTGCTAAAACAGCCTTATATTTATCTTCTAAATTTTTGTAACTTTGATTGTGCCCCCACTAATTAAAAGTTTCTGTGTCCGCCACTGGTTGTCAAGTTATGTGACATCTCTAACAGCATAATAATTACTGATTGAATTCTCTAAGATTTTCATTAAAGACAAAATGGTATGAACATTAATTGATTTTCAAATGGTATTAAATTTTTTTTTTTTTTCAATCTCATTTCATTTTAATTCTTTCCCAAGGTCATAGCTGTTGACTGTATGTTTACTTCATTCCTTTCTTCTAATTAAAAGTTTCTGTGTCCGCCACTGGTTGTCAAGTTATGTGACGTCTCTAACAGCATAATAATTACTGATTGAATTCTCTAAGATTTTCATTAAAGACAAAATGGTATGAACATTAATTGATTTTCAAATGGTATTAAATTTTTTTTTTTTTTCAATCTCATTTCATTTTAATTCTTTCCCAAGGTCATAGCTGTTGACTGTATGTTTACTTCATTCCTTTCTTTATACTGATTTTCAAAATGGTACATGTTTTGTCAACAGTGCATGCTAGATGGACCAATTTTTTCGTCAACGAAATCAACCATAGAATCGAATGTACGTATGAGCTTCTGAATTTACTCGTAGAAATAAAATCAGAAAGCATGATAAAATCTTTTAGGGCAGCGATTTCTATTTTCCATAAAGTTTGACTTTTTGAAAGAATTTATACTCTCTGTTTAGTCAAATCGTATTGGTGTGTCTATCCCTCAATTCATAAGAAGTCAACGTCTCTTGATAACGAAGAAAAGGTAAATAATTTAACTTGTTTGTTAGTAATTATGATTACTAGAAGAATCAGGATGGAGTTGGGTTTAAGCGTTAATTAAATAATAATTCTAAAACGTAAGGGTAACTCACATCATGACGAAACAAGTTTATCGTGTCCTCTCGAGTCAAGAATTAAAACCTCACAGATACTAATCAAAATATGCTTTTTCTTGGGTTTTTCTTTGCTTACGGTTAGTAGATTGACCATTTACTAGTTTAAGTTCATGTTTGTGTACGCATAGGAGTGTTATAAATTCTTCCACCTACATCCTCAGAGGAAGAAATGAGAAAGAAGAGAATGATTGGTATCCATGGGCGGCTCCATTGATGATTTCGTGGTTCCATTGCAACCTCATTAAATTTGTTTCTAACGGCGAAAGTAAAACAACACTGTCACGCTTACCTAGAAAACATATATATGTTGCTTTTTACTCATTAAATTGAATGATGCATGGAGTTGTATGGCCAGGTACAGTTGAGATGTAATTACAACCATTTACTAGGCATCAAGTTTAAATAAAAAATGGCATTGCTACGTAAACATTGATAAGTGTATTTTATACACTTATTCAAGATCTTAACCAATGTTATTTAGTTGATCCTTTGATAAAATATAGTTTAAATTGTTGTATTTTTGTATTAAATAGGTAAAACTCAATGGTTAAACAGACATTGGAAGAAGTAAAAGGAAAACCCAAAAAAAGAGTTAAATCCAAAGTTGCAAAAAATTCGTAGATCATATAGGCAATGAAATGAAGATTGAAGATGCCAAGGTTTTAATTGGATATAATTGGAAGATAAAGGAAAAAGATTACAAT